GTCCCGTTCAAAGGTCACCTCCTGGAGAAGCCTTCCCTGAGCAGTCTGGCTAACGTGACATCGGTGTCCACATTGCTCTCCTCAGAGCATGTGCTCCTCTATTTGAATTCTTTTTTTCTTTTGGAAAGCTAGCCAGGAAGGGGAACCGAATCCTTGACCTTGGGGTTACAAGGCCATGCTCTAACCAACTGAGCTAACTCTCCAGCCCTTGCCCCTCTATTTGTTCATCCACTTAAATGTGTCTGGCTTCCTACTTTTTAATGAGCTCTGCAAAGGAAGGACCCTGTCAGACTCAATCCCCACCATCCCCAGTACTTGGGCCCCATGTCTCGTACAGAGTTGCTGCATTCATTGTTTTTTTGTGTTTCTTATTTTATTTTATTTTATTTGTTTATGGAGGCTGGCTGGTATGGGGATCCAAACTTTGACCTAGTGTTACCAACACCACACTTCTCAGCCCCTACTCTGCATAAGAACAGAGTGGGAGGAACAGATCTCTTGATCCCCAGACCCTGATCTGCCAGCCCCCCTGGCAGAAATCAGAGATATTTAGAGGCTAGAGGCAAAGCATACAGGCCTTGGTTTGGAAGAGGCCCAACTCGGAGCTGTACACAAGGATAAGGTGGCTGGAACTCTGGGGCTACTGGGCTGAGATAGTGAGCCAGCACCTTGGGCAACTTCAGTCCAGTACCCAGGAGATGCATTTCATTGAGTCTTCACAACAAGTCTATGATGTAAGTCCAACAATTACCCCCATCTGACAGGCAAAGAGGCTGAAGCTCAGAGAGGCGCACCTACTTGCCCAAGGTCACATCGCTAGGCAGGGAGAGGGCAAGGATTTGAATTTAGGCAGTCCAGTGAATGAGCCTGGGCTTCAAGAGACCTGGCTCTTTTAAGTTCTGGCTCTGCCACTGATGCTGTATACCCTGGTTCAAGTCACTTTGCTTTTCTGGGCCTCATCCTTCACCTTTGTCAAATATGCTGATAGAGGGGGCCGGCCTGTGGCTCACTCGGGAGAGTGTGGTGCTGATAACACCAAGGCCACAGGTTCGGATCCCATATAGGGATGGCCGGTTAGCTCACTGGGTGAGCGTGGTGCTGACGACTCCAAGTCAAGGGTTAAGATCCCTTTACCGGTCATCTTTAAAATATATATATATATAAATATGCTGATAGAGCTGGTAGATTGTGTCTGCTGAGGGATCTCCCAAGAGGAAGCCTCCAGGCTTAATTCCTCCAGCAAAGCTCCCCCTTGGCTAGGCCTGTTTGGGGTGACACTGGGGTACCACAATCTTTTCCACACCTGTCCAGCTGCGTTTTCCTGAGGGCAGGAAATTGAAGGAAGAGGAGTCAGAGGGCCCAAACTCCTCACGGTGTGCTCTCGGGCAGCTGCTTCACTTTCTGAGTTTCTGTTTTCTCATCTGTAAAATGGGGGTCATAATGATACCTGGCTCATAAACTGGTAAATATTGAGAATTCAATCAATATTAGCCCTTAGTTAATTACTATCATCAGCTTACAGAGCTGTTGAGAAGGTTTGATGAAAGAACAGTCAGTACCCAGCACACAGTAAGTGCTCAATAAATGCTCACCGTTATTATTTTTAAAGATAAATGTGGAGTCTGTCAAATGCATTCATTCGTCTTCACTCACCACAGAGAGGCTCCTGTGTACCTTTCAGTACTTCCACGGCCCTACATCAGAAGCCAGGTTTTAATCCCAGCTCTGCTCCTTATTTGCTGTGTGGCCTTGGGCCAGAGACTTAACCTCTCTGAGCTTGACTTCCTCATCTGAACAACAATAAACATTTCTAGCATTTGCACCTGGTAAAGTTCCTAGAGGACAGAATGGGCTAATCATATTCATTCTGATTACACTATTTTGAGCAGCACACAGCACAGTTCACCCTGTTTGGGCATCTTTGTGCAGTGCCTAGCTCATTATAACATTTCCTATTTTCCAGGCAGAGTCCCTCTGAGAAGCAGGTTGGGAAAGGACATGGGCCACTTATTGACCGCCTACTGTTTGCAGGACGCTTTCCTCATCAGCCACGTCCTGAATCCTCCCAACAGCCCCATTAGGTTGGCGATGGGATGACCCAGTTTCACAGATGGGGAAACCGAGGCTCGGAGAGGCGCCTACTGTGTGCCAGGCCTCGGAGAACGCCCACCGCCCTCGAGACGGGAATTGCGATCCCCGCGTCCCAAGGAAGGCTGAGGACAAGAGTCTGAGCCCGGTTGTCCCGCTCGGGCGCCGAGGTCGGGCCTCGAAGCTGGGGCTGACCCACGGACCGGTGTCCTTCAGCCCTACCCGCCGGCCTGTGCCTACCTGATCCGTG